CGGGATTCGAACCCAAGATCTTCTGCTTGATACGCCGCTGCTTTACCAGTTGAGCTATCGTGACCTCGATCCACTCGGCCACCAACCTCCCATCTCAAAATTCAAAAAAGGTGTATTTTGTAAGGTGTAAAAAGGAGATGTTTTCAACTTTTCGTCAATCATGCAATGTATTGCACAAACTTTCAATATCGTCTACAAGATCAATTAAATTGCACAACCCAAAATATTGTGCAATAATATTGATCGTCTATGGGCCGCTCACAATATATTGCACACCCCATCAATATCACCTACAAACAATTCAACTTTATTGCACAAACCCAATTATTTGCACAGTTATATTGCATGTGTATAGGCCAGTCGTTCTTTCAACGCGCAATTCGTATTCAGTCAGAAAGATCTGAAAAAGTAGTGACCTGCGATGGACAGTATTTCAGAAATCAATTTATTACTATTTTTGCACAATAAAACCCCAATTTTACCTTATAAAATAGACCTTTTTTGAATTTTGAGATGGGAGGTTGGTGGCCGAGTGGATCGAGGTCACGATCATCTCAAGTGGTAGAGCAGCGGCGTATCTAGCCGAAGATCGTGGGTTCGAATCCCGCTCGTGCCATTGATTTTTTTATCTTACTAAAAACCGTAATTAATTGTTTTACAAAAGATTTACATACTCTCATAGTGTTAGGCGCCATAAAGGCACTAAATAGAACGCTTTCAACTCCAAACTTGACTGGGAGTGCCTAAATACCTAATGACCCTGGGAAAACAAAACAAGATTACCTTAAAGTGGGTTCCCAGACATGGGCATAGAAAGAAATGAAAGGTTTTCCTAGGATTTTTATTAGAACGGAAAGAAGACTGATAGAACTATAGGACCTAGGAAGGAACTGGTTTGTTAAGTTTAGGGATCTTTATTGTTAAGTTGGATAAGAGATATTTACAAAGTTAGAGGTGTTCCATATCAGATCTTTTCCTAAAAAACTGCATAAAGCAATTCATAAAATGCACCAACAAAGCTCAGGATGCGACCTTCTTATCCCTGAAGTGCGCAACTTACCTAGAAAATATTGGAAATTAACGTACATCTCGTTGGACAACTTTCTTCTAAGCTGCGCACTTCATGGATAATAATGTCGCATCCTGAGCTTTGTTGATGCATTGTATGAATTGCTTTATGCAGTTTCTTAGGAAAAGGTCTAGGAACACAATAGGAACACATCTAACTTTGTAAATGTCTTTTATTCTTGATTGTAACAAACCTAGTTGGTTTGAGAGTTCTCGTAGCGTCTCGCTGTTTATCACGGCCTGGGTAGAACCTTGATTGTCAAAATATTAAAACCACTTCTACTCTGCTCATTGAGTCCTTCCATTCAAATTCGCTCGTGTTACACAACTAATCAATTTTGCAAAGCTTGGGTACAAATAGACCGTCAATTTGCTCCAACCTGTTCAAAAAAATTTATAACTCAGCAAATGTAAACAAAGGGCTCATTCAAAGAGAGAATTAATAGCGTTAATTTTTTTCCAGTTTGGCCGCAGATTTCAATTAAATCGAGATATTTCCCTTCAATTAATCATTCGAGTTTAGAATCAAGTCGTAAATAAATTCACATTACGTAAATCTGGCTCATGTTCAAATACCTATGTGCCATCCAACGTGTTTATTTTTATTGCTGTCATTCGAAATGTAGATATTTATATCCAACTATTTTGTTTTACAATTTTGTGATGGTGAAATAGCAATTTTGTTAAAAACAAAAAACTTACTGGTCTGAGTTTTGATCATTTATAGACATAAGCAATGATTAAAGGGTAAAAGCTTTCCTGATTAATCAAATTTTCATCGTTTTCGTTCTTTAAAATAAAATTGTTAAAAACTTTCTTCCATTTTTGGTATTTTTGAGTACTAAAATAAAGAATGTATTATTAGTCGATCGAACTTGGGCCAAGGATGCAATTCATCTCTTTAAATTTATAGATGAAAGTTTAAATGAAACCAAGTTGGCGGTGCTTCAAGGCCCAATAACCGATTGGCCCAATTTTTCGAATTCCAATCCAACTAGACTGTACACTTGTAAATATACGGTGAATTAAAAGCAAAATTTAGACGTGATGCAATGTTCTGGTTTTATTTTTAATCGGAATCTTGGATCAAAGATGAAACAGATAACAGGCTAGGGGTAAAAGGGCTGAATTATACCCTAAAACCCCTTGATGTTTTTAAATCTTTACGATAATCAGTACTCAGATTTCTGTTTTTTTGAATAACTCCCTCAATCATCTTTATAACCGTTTGAAAGATCTCGAAGTGGACGGGTGATATTTGGCCAGGTAACCTCGATCTTTTATTTTCCTTATTTCTATTAATCATGCAAAGGTGATTGTAAAATAATTTTACTATAGCTTAGTAGAAGAGATAATTTAAGAGTTCTGTCAAAATGTTTTCAATCTTCAATCAAAATTACTAATGACTGTAGGAGATGTGGTGGTGTTGATGGTGAGTATGGAGCCAAGTAGTAGCTGGAGTGAGACCGAGTATGGATCAGCTGGTATGAAAGGGTATCATTTTGTTATGGAAACAAACCGAGGATTAGAATTAACATAAGTGGCAATATGACACCGTCATTCAGGCGACTATTTTTTTTTTTGCTGGGGCTTCACAACATTCATACAATTAAATACATCATTCCGTTTGGTCGGTGCAGTGCTTGATATTCCTCCACCGACCTACACTTAAACTGAACTAGATTGGGGTCGATGGGGTACTTTTATAAATATTCCGCCATCGACCCCGAACACACACTCACTCGCTTTTATCGTTCGAGGGGCGATGATGACGTTATATTCACCTTCGTCCCTCGCCATTCACGTTAATAAATACATGCACACAGACAAAACATATAGACACATAACACATAAGACACTATATACAGTAAAAAACCCCAATTTCCCCTAAAAAGCGGAGCAGGGGACTGAAAATCGCTACCGTGCTCGAGGACTGTTCTTAAATCCGGCGGCATGCCTACACGCTCTCTGTATGGAGCCAAGGCATGACACGCTTCTATTATGTGGGACACATCGAGCAACCTTTCTCTGCATAAGGGGCACCTGCGCGGGCTTTGCAAAGCAGGTGCCCATGTGTCAACCGAGTATGGCCAATCCTCAGTCGGGTGAGGACGATCCCTCGTCTCCTGCTCAGATCCTCTGGGGGCCATCTACAGGTCGTGCTTTTGACTCGCAAGAGCCTCTCCAACGACCCCGCCCACTGACGCTGCCATCTTTCTTTTATCATATTTTTAACTGCGTGTTTAGCGTCAGGGGGCCTGATCGCGATGGCCTGATCTGGAGGGTGGGACGTACCGGCTTTCGCCGCCTCGTCCGCGCGTTCGTTACCCTCCAGGCCGACGTGTCCGGGAATCCAGACAACAACCACCGTTTTTCCGAGAGGCTCCAGCTCCGCATATTTCTCTAACAAGAGCACGACGAGAGGGTCCACAGAGAACCTGTCGCGTATAGCCCATACAGCGCTCAGAGAGTCGGTACATACGAGGAAGGCTGAGCCCTCCCCGATCCGCACCGTCAGGCGACTATTGTAGGTGGCTATTGTACACCCCTAGAGAAAAAGCTGAGCATTAGCATGCAAAAGCATAGCCATCTACTCGGACATGCAGGTAGCAATGAAACTTCCTCATCGGTAGTAATGTTCGGATTAAATCCAACTTCAGCCTCAACAGAGTCCGAGATAATGGCCAAGGAAAGATCGACGGACATCTACCGGCCCCGAACCTTCTACGGCATACCAAATTGCCAAAAACATCAGACTGTGAGGAATATCAACTGCTCTGGGGAAGTATGATTGAATTGTGGTGTGTGAATGTAATTTATTTGCACGAATAGAAGGATCTAATCCCCAATTACACCAAGGTTTATTGAGTACTTTGGGAGAGGGTGAATGTAATTTATTAGCGTGAATGGAGGGGCTTATCCTCAATTACCACGAGGCATATCGCGTACTCTGGGGTAGTGTGCATGAATTTTCATGCGTCAATGTATATATATATAAAGTGGAAGGTTTATGGGCCGACAAACAGCTGAGGTCATCGCCGGCCCTCCGCATGTATTCCTTCTCTTTCCTGTCTTTCTCGCGTATTTTGTATTGAACTGCAGATGCGTCAATGTAATTTATTAACGTAAATGGAAGGATCTCAACCCCAATTACATCGAAGAATATCGATTACTCTGGGGTAGTTTGAATGTAATATATTAGCGTGAATGGAGGGGCTCATCCCTAATTACCGCAAGGAATATCGAGTACTCTGAGGCAATGTGAATCCTAACCAGACGATCATAGTTTACCTTGTTTATGTTTTTATGTACAATTGTTTTATCTACGATTGCTGAGGTCTTGCAATAAATAGCAATAGGATAAAATAAAAGGGCTGCCTGTGAAGATCAGAAAATAAATCAATGGCCCTCGGTTCAGTGGGAATGCATTCGAGGACAGAGCGAAAAGGTTCATTAAAGGACCACCTTAGAAACTAACAGAACTACTAAACCTAGAACTTGTCAGGATAAAGTGATAATAGGCAGACCCAGGAGGCATGTGTATAGACAAGAAGCAGCAGAAGAAGAAACAGCAAAACATGTCCTACGTCGGTGAACCTCGGGGAGAGGAAAAGCCCAGGCATGATGGATACTCATGGGAGTCCTCGACTAAGCTTTGAGACTGGCAAAAAGCTTGACGCTTAAAGAGAGTTCTCGATGATAATAATAACAATAGAGATTTCATAACAGATCAATATTGGTCACGTGGTGGATAAGGTCGTAAAGAGCCTTCTAATTTCCGTTCTATGACATACGTGATGTTCATAATTTGGGGGTCATTTTGAGTTTTTAACAACAAAATTGCAAATAATAATAATTATTATTATTTTAAAAAGTAAATAATTTATTTATATATGGATATAAAAATATGTACATTTGCCTAATGTTAATACATAGGATAGATAATCTGTCCACTTCAATAATATTTTTAAAACAGATAAATAATTTTTATTTAAACAAACGAATAAAAATTAATTGTTTTTCCTCCCTTTGACATTTAGTTCCGATGTGAGATTCTCAGTCTAAGCTCCTCCCTTTGCCGGAGAAGGCTTTGAAGTCCTTCTCAACTGTTTTCGGTTTTGTATTGGAACTGGGCTCGGCAAGGTTATTCCTGAAGAACTCGATGGTTCCGTATTCGTAATTGTAGTCGGGGATGCCTCTTCGAACGACCTGCGGCTCGTGGGGTGTGTCCGTTTTCACTTCCTTCGGTTTTTTGCCGTCGAGGCGGTATCCCGTTCCGCTGAATGGCCTGAAGAGAGACGCGTCCTCAGGGTCGGGCTCCGGAGGCGGTGGTTTCGGTCTCTCAGGCTCGACGTACCCGACGGGCGGTGAAAAGTCCACTTCCATGTCGCACTCGACTATCGCCACGGCCGAGCTCGGCTTCGTCTCTTCGACTTTGAGCTGATAGAGGCGGTTGTTGTAGTGGATCGGGATGACGTCCCCTTCCGTCAGACAGGAGAAGTTCCTCAGGTAGTTCTCCAGCACGGCTTTGGGGTTGGAGATGTCTAGGAAGGCGACGCACTGCGGCTGAAAACGTGAGAACGTGGCAGTCGGCAGGACGCTCGACTCCACTTTCACCTTGGCTCCGCACTTGAAATCGAGAAGGTCCAGGACCCAAGACGGGGCGTTTATGCTACCTTCGTCCGCGATGAACTCAAGGACTCCGCAGTGCGTGAACTTCTTCGTCTCGGGGTTGGTCAGCTTGAAAAGCATCGGGGCGAAGATGTTATTCGTCCTGCTGGTGAGGATGTCCAGAACGGTCGCCGGCAGTACCACCTTTCCTCCGCATTCCAAATCGCTCCTCGGGCGCACTGGGATGAGCGTAACGGGGAAAATTTTCAACTCTCCAACATAAGACATGGTATCTATAAATAAAACAACAAATATGTATCAGTTTAACTAATATAAAAGTAATAGTTTATCAGATGAAGAAGTATGCCTAAAAAGTAAAAATGTCCTTGGAATTTCAGTTTCAGACGGGGTTATGAACCTATAGTTTCGACGATTTTCTGCTTATCTTCCCTGTTTGGTCTGAACGACTTCTTCACCATTAGTGGTTGGTCTGTGTGGCTTCCGATTTTATTTATACGTGAAAGGTTGTCTTTGATGTATTTCTTCAATTTCTAATGGGATCGAAAGAGTCGCATGTCAGGAAATAGTGGTTACACCTTACAAGTATTTAAGTGAAAAAGTGCCGTTCTAAGGATTTTCTTTGTCAGATATTATTTAATAAAAACTTATTTCTTGATATTTCTCCATATGAACTGCGGAGTTATGGACCTGGAAGTTTGGTCGTTATGGATCATTTCACGCCTTCCTGTTTGATCGGTCCGACATCTTCAGTGTATGAGCGGTTTCTGCTTTATCAGGTCCCTGTTAGTAAGATTCTGACAAGTGGAAGGAACGTCTTCGTGTTGCCTTTGATGGATTAAGGACACGCCTTCTGATGGGATAGAAATTCGAAATAGTCGGATTTCGGAACTTGTCTACCAACGCTTTCCTTCAAGAGAGGATAAGGGAATTGATTTTGAAGGATTTTCTTTGACGAAATTTCTTCTTGAGGACTGCGAGGTGATGAACCTGTAGCTTGGTCGTTTCCGAACGTTTTGGTCAGCTAGTTTAGGACAAACAGCAAATAAAATTGGGTGTGAAAACTACCAAGCTACAAAAAATAATCAAAAATGTACTGAAGACCAAGTGCCATTTTAATTTATTTATTTATAACTATCAAAACTATCATCTATAGTTTACATGTAGATGCCAATTAACCTATAATTAGAGCATTAGTATATATGAGCAGTGGCTGTAACGAGTGAAATAACAGTTTCAGAAAGACGGTTTTTTGGTTTTCGAAGACTTCTTGAGCAAAGAAGAGGTTGAAAGGCTTTACAATGCTGGAATGGAACTGGCGGAAAACATCTCTCCAGATGAAAAGAAATGTGTTTTCAACACAATAAATGATGTTCAGGTAAATACTGCTATTTTTTAATATTTTAGGCTGTGTCAGGTCAGTGTTGATCAAGGTCTAGGTTGAAACAATATAATACATATCTTAATACAACTATTGTTAAAAAAATAATCGGCACTGATCATCATATTTGTTGCAGAGTACGGACGAATACTTTTTGGAAAGCGGAGACAAGATCCGTTTCTTTTATGAAAAGGACGCCCTGGACGAACAAGGGGAGCTGAAGGTGCCGGCCGGATCGTCTTTGAACAAAGTCGGCCATGCACTCCACTGGCTTCATCCTGACTTCAAGGAGATCTCGTTTGGCAACAAGATCCAGGATTTGTGCAGGAGCTTGCGATTCGAAGCGCCCGTCATACTCCAGAGTATGTTCATATACAAAAACCCTGACAAATGTGGCGAAGGTAATTATTTTATTATGCTGATGGTTTCTAATCTGACAAGACATTCCAGGAAGACAAAGTAAAAATCTCTTAATAAAACTTTTTTAACAATGACCAAAATTGAACTTAATTTTAAATGATTACTTACTTTTCATTAAGAATTACAAATTCAATCCTGCTTCAGACCACAATTTCGTGCACGTCACATTACACTGTTTCATTCAACTACAAAAAGTAAAAACTCACTTCTATTGCATAATTAACTTATTACCTATTCAGTAAATACGTGCGAGACTTAATTTTACATTTTTGTGATTTTTCCCTTAGCAAACACTGAATTATTACAAGCTGTGCTTGATTATATGTTAATACTGTATGTCCTTGTTATGCAATTATATTATGCAATATGTTTTATTCTAGTAAAACCCCACCAGGATTCCACGTACCTGTTTACCGAACCGAATACTCTCGTAGGAATATGGATACCTTTGGTAGACACGACTATAGGTAAATGTCATTTTGATTAATTCAAGTACTATTATTTACTGATGATATGGATATGTTAATCTGGACGCGTTAATGGTTTGCGTTTTGAATAGTTTGTCTCACCTCAGTTGGTTATGTTTTCAATGCGAATTGTGACTTTCATCGTCAGGACTGTTTCATACAGTACTGTTATAGTTGGTAGGGACTATTAGTTGGACTTAAGTTATTGTTCAATTTTTCGTTGGGCTTTGTTATTTGGTTGACATGGTTGAATGTATTTAACCTAGTTTTGGGTTTATTCGTTTATTTCGTTATGCTGGCTCATATCCACACATGTACATACGAACATGTGCCGATTTGTTTTTCGTAGTTCTAGCTTTTGCTATTTATTGTAAATTGCCAGTAGATTGAATCCACTCCGGGGTCAGACCTTAGTCATAGCGCCCAGCCACCGAAGTGGCTACAACTAGGTTCAGCACCCAACGCATTCAGTTTCAACCCCAATCGTTCATTCTTCTTATTCACTCCTATATACCGTACTATTCCTCCATCACTTTACACATATCATACAACCAACCTAACTGAGGGTCGATGGGGTCCCGCCATCGACCGTCTCACATCACACATTCACGCTAATAAGTAAACACGTAATAAGTACGATTACGCTAATAAATACATTCACTCTCTACACAAGCTAGGTATACACCTAGGTATACAACAGAAGAGTTCTTGCTGGTCTTGTGTAATCTGTAAAATTTTATTTGTTGGGCGTAATTAAGTGTAGTTAATTGACTTAATTGCTGGGGTGTAAATAAGTAGAGTAGATCGACTCAATTGGTTGGGCGTGTATAAGTTAAGTAGATTAACTGAATTGGTTCGGTGTGCCCAAGTTAAGTTCGTTGACTTAATTGGTTGGGCGTGATTAAGTTAAGTTGATTGACTTAATTATTTCAGTGCGATAAAGTTAGATTGGTTGACTTAATTTTTTGGGTAGAATTAAGTGCGCATAGATGACTTAATTGGTTGCATGTGATTAGGTTAAGTGGTTGACTTAATTGTTGGGGTGTGATTAAGTTAGGTTGGTTGACTTAATTGGTGTGGTGTGATTAAGTTAAACAGATCGACTCAATTGGTTAGGCGTGATTAAGTTAAGTACATTAATTGAATTGGTTGATTTTATTGGTTGGATGTGATTAAGTTAGATTGGTTGACTTCATTTGTTGGTTGGGATTAAGTAAAGACGATTGACTTAATTATTTAGGTGTGATAAAGTTAGATTGGTTGACATAATTTTTTGGGTAAGATTAAGTGCACATAGATGCCTTAATTGGTTGGATGTGATTAGGTTAAGTGGTTGACTTAATTGTTGGGGTGTGATTAAGTTAGGTTGGTTGACTTAATTTTTTGGGTAGGATTAAGTGCACTCAGATGCCTTAATTGGTTGGATGTGATTAAGTTATATTGGTTGACTTCATTTGTTGGGTGGGATTAAGTGCGCTTGGATGACTTAGTTGGTTGGATGTGATTAGGTTAAGTGGTTGACTTAATTATCTGGGTGTGATTAAGTTAAGTTGATTGACTTAATTATTTGGGTGCGATAAAGTTAGATTGGTTGACTTAATTTTTTGGGTAGGATTAAGTGCACTTATATGCCTTAATTGGTTGGATGTGATTAGGTTAACTATATAATTAACTAACTAATTATCTCTATATATTAAGTGGGGTACGAACGTTAAGTTCGCAAAAAGTTATTTTAAGGTTCAATTCTATCGTTCCTGGTCCGCTGATTCTCGCTGTTGGCCTCGACCAGATGCGTCTAAACAGGAGCAGATGAAACAAACTTCATTCCGTCACAGCGAGATAGATGGACTACAAGTTGGATTCAATTTTTGAAATCGTATATATTATAAACTATTCGGAGCCAAGATGTTAGGTCATTTGAGAAAATTTGACTGTACTTAAGTCCTGTACGTTAAAGTTATAAAAGTCAGAAGACTAATAATAAACTGATTTCCATTAACGTAATTTTTACAAACGTTAGCGTAAAAATGTTAAACGTTATCTTATAAAATCAAAAATTCATCACTGAAGATGAAGAAAAGCAATGTCTGACAGCCCAAAAGGCTGTAGGTTTGTGAGAGTGGATTTAATTGTTAGAAAAATTAAGAAAATTTTGTTCTTTAGAAAATGGCTGTCTTTGGTTCATTCCTGGCTCACACGAGAGTGGAGTTCACAGGAGGTACGTGAGGAACAAAGACCCCGAGGTGAAGAAGCTGTTGGTTTACGATAGGCCCGAGGTTACATATCCATCGTCCGGATTCGTGCCCGTCCCTGTATCAAAAGGTAAGATAAATCGCTCTCGTTCTCTTCTCTTTTTTATTTTCCGTGTGAATTAATTTCACGTTCATTGCCAGGATCGTGCATCGTCATTCACGGCGATGTCGTACACAAGAGCGAGTGCAACAAGACGACAAAAGCAAGACCTGCGTACACATTCCACGTGATGGATGTCTCGTCCCAGTACTCGCCGGACAACTGGCTTCAATCCCCTCAGGGTTTTCCGCTGATCTATTCGGATTAAATTAATCGATTTTATATTAAACGGACACGTGTGGAAGGAGAAGAGCGATTAGGTCGGATTTTTAATTTTTAAGTAGAACGTCTTCTTTAAACCTTTAATTCTTAAATTGTTTTGTGCGAAATTTTAATATTCACAAATATATGTTTTTATTTTGTTTTCATAAAGTCTTTACCTTTGATAATCCTTGAAAATGACAAAATATTTATTTGTCTGTAATTTTCATTCATTTCTAATCTTTACTGTAAGCTCGGTCGATTCGAATCGTCCTTATCTACCAGACCTTGCTGATTTGGACTGTACATTATTTTTTCAACAAAAATCAGCCAATTCTGGCCGTCTGTATTATAGATAAAGGTACGAGGAGGTATCGAGGTATATAGAGAGGATTTGGCTCTAGACCTTTGTTTCTTTGGCACCTCTCAAAAAGGCTTGGGCAGTAGGGTTAGAATGGATCGAGGAGCTTGATGTTGAGCTTTTGGTTGCGATATCGGATCAGTTCTTTGACAAAAGGAACGTTGAGGCCGTTGTGAGATTAGTGACGTAGTAAGGAGCTGTGACAATTCTATGACAAGTTTATTGGATGCAATGGATCAAGAGAGAGAGAGAGAGAGAGAGAGGGGGTGAGNGGGAGAGGGAGAGAGGAGAGAGGGAGAGAGAGAGAAGACAGAGGGAGAGGGAGAGAGAGGGGGAGTGGGAGAGGGAGAGGGAGAAGTAGAGGGAGATGGTTAGGGGGCGTTATAGGGTGGAGAGGGAGAGGGGCAGAGAGAGAGAGTGAGGAGATAGAGAAAGTGACCTAGATGGATAGATAGATATAGAGTGAATGAGTTAATAAGATGGAGTGAGTGAATGAGCGAGAGAAATAAAGACTGAGCAAGAGAACTATAAAGTGAGTGCGTAAGCCAAAACAGAACATTGTTATCTATATGAAAGCCAGCAGTGTAAATGGTATGCGGGGGGCCAAAGATGCTCCCTTGTGGATGTCTGCTTGTATTGGTCTCATATCTAAATATTCGTTGCCGCATTTCAGTCTGAAGCTTTAGTACCTTTTTACTTAACCATAAGCACACATTTTCAAAGTCTTATTAAGGAGAACTTCAGCTAGGTTATTGAACGAACTTACGTTGAACGTCCAGACCACCGTTTCATAGCCATAGCCTTACTTCCTTAGCGTAATATAAAACCTATACCTACATCTTCAGTTACAAATCAGGAAAAATGCATCGTTTTACATTGTTTTAAATGTTGGAGAATGAGTTTTTCCTTGAAACATATTAATGATGATTGAAAATTTAACCCAGAAAAAGTTTATGTTTATAATATAATTGGTGAATTTGCAATTTGAAAATTAGTTTTACTTGTTTTCTGAAGAATTTAAAAAAAATTGTAGAAGGATTTAAGAGCAGTATGTAAGCAAGAAGGACAAGTTTTTCGATTCGATAGTTCCAACTTTTTAAGCTACACTTCAAAGCTTGCGCTTACACCATTTTCGCAACGTGTAACGTTTAAATCTACAAATGTTTAAATTTTTCTCTTTAGGATTTTCTTTAGTAATGAAATATTACTAACCGTTCACTCAGAGCTGGCCATTTTCGAACCTTCTAGATATTTGGCTCCGTCGCGATACTAGTCAAGGAACTTGTCCTAGGAAAAGGTTTTTCTGGAAGGACACGAATTAATTTAAAATACCGCAGGTATCCCGAAGGCACCCCGAGGATTTGGCGGTTCGGAGAGTCTGTATTAGGATCGAAATAAAATAATAAAATAAAATGTTCAGCTGTTCAAATATTATTTCTAGGAATAGAGCGGGTTGCTTAAAAAAAAAAAAAATTATAACAGATCGTGCAATCATACAATCGTTTTCTTCGCATAATAACTGAAAACTAAAAGGAATTGAATAAAAAAATTTCTGTGAGTTCGTTTGACTTATCTACCACTTTCAATATAACCAATTTTCTTAGCTTAACTCAATAATTGACCGTTTCACTAAATAAATTTTTCAAGTAAATGTTTTTGTTACTAGAAAAAAGTCAATATCTTTACTTAAAATTCTACTAATCGGGCGATAATTTCAAAATATAACAAAACTAGCTGCGCCAATAATTCATAAAATGTATTCGTTCATTTCAATCGTATTTTCCAATAATCATGTGAATGGTCAACGTGAGGTTTTAGCGTCTTCACTGTTAAATTTTGATGAGTAAAAAAATGATCAAGTATTCAATTACCTACAAAATACCTTAAAACAAGGCAATCGTCCTTCTCATTTTTACAAACCACTATCCATCGAAAATGGGAAAAATCAAGGGGATAAAATACATATCCGATAGGTAGAAGGGGATAATAGGAAAATATACAGAGAGAGTAAAAAATGAAAGAAAAAATAGAGAGGGGAGAGAGGAAGGGAGGAAGGGAGAAAGACAGAGAGAGAGAGGGAGAGAGAAAGAAAGAAAGAAAGAGAGAGAGAGAGAGAGAGAGAGAGATTGAAAGAGAGGGAGAGAGTGTGTGAGTGAGTAAGAGAATAAGAAATTGAGTGAAATAGATATATTGAGAGAGAAAGAGAGAGATTGAGAGAGAGGGAGAGAGAGAGTGTGTGNGAGAGAGAGAGAGAGAGAGAGAGAGAGAGAGAGAGAGAGAGAGAGAAAGAGATGAAGGAATGTTGTACGGTCGTTGTACGGCAACAGAGTCCACCAATATTTCTGGTTTTTACACGTTTCTTTGGCACTTATATGAGTTTAATTCTGTCCGGGCTGTCGTCGAGGCCAACGCTCTTTTAAGTTATTAAGCCTACAATATTAACGAGTGAAAATATTTTGGAGTAGGTAAATGTTTTTACACTGATATTGGCTCAAGATAGAGAGAAGTCCAAAGAACCGATTTTCCTAAGTCTTTTGTTAGCTCGGATTGTTTGACTAAATATCGTTGTTGCAACTACAACATTAAATAATTTAAACGTGATTAAAGAAGTTAGTTTCCTCTACATTTGGACAGAAGGCTTAAAACCGTTTGAGTACCTATACGACTCCTAATGTATAAAATTTATTTTTTAACTACATGATAATACCACATTATTTTAGGCTAAGAATAAAGATAAAAACTTTTTTCTTTCACTTTTAAACACATGTAATATTATTATTCAGAAATCGTGAGATGCGGTCTGGTGTGCTGTAGGTTTCAGAAAAACATTTTCTTTATCGTGCCAAGGTTTCGATCTTTATTGAGATCATCTTCAGGGCTCAAAGTGTTTGTTTTCTGTGTAATTGTGCCATTCTTGCGTGTCGTTTTGAGAGTTCCTTCTTGTGATATTTCCAATTACACAGAAGACAAACACTTTGAGCCCTGAAGATGATCTCAATAAAGATCGAAACGTTGGCTCGATAAAGAAAATGTTTTTCTTAAACCTACATCACACCAGACCGCATCTCACAATTTCTGAATAATTATCGATTAACGATCACTAATCACCACACATTGTATTCATTGTTTCTTCCTCTTTTTATCTCATTTTTAAGCAGTAGGTATATTTATTACTTAAACGAAGAAAAATGTCAACTGATCGAACATTTATATTTTAGTAGTGAAGGGAGATGAGTGATTCATTGAACAGAATAAATTCTTGAAAAATCGTATAGTATAAGCTGGTTTTGGTCTTTTGTATGACTCTCCCACTCACTCACTAGCTGACTCACTTATTCTTTCTTTCTAACTCGCTTTCTCACTCAGTCATTACTCACCAACTTAATCTTACTGATTCACCCACTTTCTTGCATATTCTCTCCCTCCCTCACTCACTCTCACAGTTATCCTCACACAGTTCACACTTGTACACTCTCTCATACTTAATCACTCACGTACTCTCTCACATTCAGTTACTCACACACACTTCATTTTCTTTCTCTCTCTCTCACTCACCCCACTCCTTTACTCACTCTCTCATTCACTTTCTTTCATATTATATCGCTCATCTATATCTCTCATCTATATCTCTCATATTATATGAGATCATCTTCAGGGCTCAAAGTGTTTGTTTTCTGTGTAATTGTGCCATTCTTGCGTGTCGTGTTGAGATTCACCTCGTGTGAGATTCACAATTTCACAGAAGACAAACACTTTGAGCCCTGAAGATGATCTCAATAAAGATCGAAACGTTGGCACGATAAAGAAAATGTTTTTCTGAAACCTACATCACTCCAGACCACATCTCACGATTTCTGAATAATTAATGAATAAAATGTTAAATTATTGAAAAACTGATTTTTTAAAGAAAAATTGCTAACGTGTATCTAATAGGTTTATCGTTTTTGTATACAATAATTTTCTATTTATGTAATTTTTAACACCCTCTGCAATCCGAATTTTTCTGATATGTTCTGTGATATGCTATTCTGTAGTTATTTAGCAAATTATCGTCCTTCTCTTAAGTCCTCCGCGGTGGTCGCTAAGCGGGATCCTACTGCATTTGGTTTAAAAATAATTCTGCCAGATGTGATCTTTGCGCACTTCCTAGTTTTTCCAGGGCACTCAGGCCGTCCCATACTTTAAGACTTGCTTCAAGTAAGGCCGATGCTTTTTGCATATAAATGCCCTTGACTTCTTGTCAGACGCAAACTGTTTTCAGCAGGTCTCAATATTTTGAAGCACATGGCAATATACGACTAGCAGACCTGTATTTGTCCGGCCTTGATGAAGCAGGTCTTAGTTAAGGCGAGAGTTCTGTCTTTTCGATTTATTGCTTATTGGGTAATGTTTGAAAAAACCAAAATTATTTTTTATCAAAATTGTATTGCAAATTAATAAAAGTAAATGGTAATTCAATTGCTGGTGCGACGGAGTAGTATGTAACGTTCTTGTCTATTTATCAGCTGTAATTGATGTGATCGTTTTTGGGTGATTAAACGTGATGTGATGGAATAACTGCAATCCTCACTCGAGGCAGATGCGGATAAATCCAGTCCTATCTTGAAATCTAGCCGTCACGAAAAAATAATAAAGTCGAATTTTCAAATCATGTTCTCCATTTTATCCTTTAGCCATTGAGCCAGGGTGATGGAGGTACCGGCAAGATCGTGCGTCTTAAATTAAAATGACCTCCCTTTCGCACAAATCATTTCCGATTCCTTGGAAGACGCCCAGGATAAGCGCCATCTCTTCGTTATAATTTACAAGTTCCGACTTGTAAATTATCGGCGAATCGGTGTAAGTTGTGGGAATATTTCCACCGTACCTGAATCCCGGGAAAAGAGAGAGAGACAGAGGATAAGCTGAAGAATGACGGAGGCTTAAAAGCCTACATAAGCCTGTTCTCGTAAGGGCCATTAATTTGGACATGAACTCGCGATAAAAGGAACATATTGTGTGCCCCATCTGCTCAACAGCCTTCTGCCGAAAATTAATCATAGCCTCCGCACAAAAAAAGTCGCAGGTGGGCGACGGTTCACGTACGGTGTTTGGCTTAATCGTGCAGAACCGTCCAAACTGCTGAAGATCTACCTAAATGTGGTAATTAGGAGGTTTTCTAAATGTTAAATAAGACTTGTACACATCCAAGCTTTGAACATGTCATTTTCGCGTCACATAAGACACGGCTTCTAGGCTAAGACCACAACTAACCATACAACACCACCACATCCAGTGCATGTTTTATCATCAATTTAATGATCCACATTCTATGCCAATTATTTTTACTTATGTCTCACAAGGAAAGTGGTAAGGTCGTAGGAGCATCAATTTTGAGGAAACATTTTGGGTTAAGATGAGATTATTGCCAGTGGGTCTTAGAAGCCCAATTGTTTTGTAGCATGAGTTTCAGCTTATGTTGTGCATGATTTAAAGTTGTTTTTCAGTTATTGACCATGTATATTTTTCACGTACATGATTTATTTTGTTTTTGTTATTTTATCTATTTGCACAAGTCATTTTGACATTTACGCTTTTCCATGAACATCGTTTTAACTTGGCAAAATGATCTGAACGAGATATTTTTAATTAAATACCCTTTTACACTTCTTGCTTGTTACTTAGTCTTTCCTTTCTGACATTCTGTCTAATTCTTTATTTGTTGTCTCAATATCGATCTGGGCTGCACCTCTCGGTGCGCAACTGAAGCTTTCATCCTGAATGATGGCCGCTAGATAGCGAACGCAAATTGAAACAAGGTTTTAAATAACACAGGAACATTTTTAATACGTTGAAGTACTCAATTGCAACAAAACTACATTAAAAAACTTTATGTCGATACAATGAATTTAAAAAAGCTTATCGAAAATTAGGATGTAAGCTTATCACGTAATCTTAGGAGAAAGGTACAGAAATTCAAAGTGGTATTTTGGTCTTCATATAGTTTTACTTATTTTATCTCCTGTTGACTTTCTATATACAGCTACGTATTTTGACAGTCGTAGAAGTTATGATTGAGGGTGAATTTTGCTTATTTAGGTGCCCTATAAGAAGGCAGACTATGCTTGAATTGTCTGACTCACAGGTTTCGATGAAAATTTAAGGTGATTTTGATCAACTAAACTATTTTGTATATTATGTATTCTAGGGGCTGTCGGTGGCCCAACGGTTTAGGCGTTGACACGCGTTTTTGTTCTGTCATGAATTTGTATTTATCACGAATACTGAGTGTAAGGGTGTTTCCGACCATCAAACAAGCGAAGACAGACGAACCCACCCTCTCTAAGACAGGTTGGGGACGACAATACTGCAGGTACATCAAGTAGCAATCGTCACCAAAACATCCCTAGATTTTATGTGTAACGTTTTGTAGT